CGCGGTCTCGACGAAAAGCACCTCCTCTGCCGGCTGACGGCCCGCGGCGGCGACGCGAGCGAGGGCTCCACAGCCCGCTCCCGGACAAAGAAAAGAGCTTTTGTTCCTCTCCAGCCGATGGGGCTCTGCTGCATAAATCAGTTTAGCGAAGAGCCAAACACAATCAAACCCAAACAAAGCCCGGAGCTGGGGGGAAAACCACCCTAATGAACATCACTGGGTGATGCTACATTGGTGGGAGGGGACGGCTAGAAGGCCGAAGGGGGTTAAGTCGATTGCGCCCAGCCCGAGCGTCTTCCACAGGTGGGCAGGGAGGCCAACTCCACTGAGTTGCCGCTGTGCAGCCCGGCGCAGCCGGCAAGGACCCGGCGGCAGCGTCCTGACTGGCTAGGAGCGGAGGCTCCGGGTGCCAGCAGCTGGGGAGGCGCCTCCGCGAGCGTCCTAGAGGCGCCCGTCGAAGCTCGCAGGCACAGAGCGAGGCATCGCAGCTCCCTGCCTGGCCAAGAGTGGAGCGCACGGCGGCTCGCGCAGGAGGGGAGGTTCTGCTGGGGTGCGGGAGCTCGGCCTCGCGGGGCGGGGGCTTCGCGCCCTGGTCCTTTTGGCTCCAGGGCGAGACTCAGGCGCCCCGCCGCCTAGAGCCCTGGCAGCTGGCGCTCTCTGCAGTGCACCCGTCAAGGACGTGAGGGAAGCGAGGCCGGCGATGGGGTGGTCTTGCCCTGCCCCCCGGGGGACTCCCAACCTACTGTAGCCGGGCGCACTGAGGGCCACGAGTTGCTAGGAAACCGCCCCACGCTACCGTGCGCCTAGCCCGGGTCGCCCGCAGGCGACGTTGCTGCCCAGGCTGCAGAGGCAACAGCTCGAGCGGCGTGGGCGGGACATTGGTGAGGCATGAAGTCACCACGGCCCACACTCGCTCCTTGTTTTGCTCACTCCAGCTCTTTTTCTCCTCTCTGGATCTGACAGTTGCCAATCCCCATCGTTCCGAGAATTCCTGATGCGTAGCCACGCAACGGGATATCGCACGGCTCGCCCCCTATTCCCTCCTCCTGCACCCCCAGCCTGCCTAGCTGGTATGGTGGGAGACTCGCTCAGCACAGAGTGGTCGCTCTGAGCAAACTCCGGTCTCTCACCCCGAGCTGCGCACTCCTTTGTTTAGCGATACTCACTGCCCAGCAGCTGCTGCGTGCAAAGTGTAGTCCAGGGCCTCTGCCCGCCCCAAAACTCTCTGTTCCCGGGGCGCGCACTGCCCGCTTTGTTTGCAGAGTTGGGAGCTCACTCTGCCCCATCCTAAGGCTGTGCCGGATCTCTCCAGCCCTTGGTGAGTTCGACGAGTTCGCAGGGGCTGTTCCGCGAGACATTGGCCGAGATTTCTCGCCGCTCCTTCTCGCAGTCTCAGCCCTGCGCTGGACAACATTGCTTTTTCCCAGGGTCTGGTGGTGGCTCTGGGCTTTTGCTGCCTACAGTGTGTCTTTTGACCTTAAGCATCACCTTCCCAGTAAAAGGAACAAAGAAGTTAGAGCCCACAGCACAGGAGGGAGAGACGCCAGGGAGGGGAAGAGGAAGGCATTTTTGCCTGGTGGCAGCTCAGAAATTCAGGTGACAGCGGGAGCAATGTGATGATGAGGGCGACGGCACAAGCGGTGCGCCTCCTTGGGGCCTGTCTGTCGCCACCACTCCTAGCCGAGGGAGGGGACCCAGGCTTCCCCAGCCCCCACTGGAAGAGAGGCACTGTTTCCAATTTGAGACAGGGTGATGATGGTTTCCTTTTTCCCTCTAGGGGCAAGAATGGTTCCCCAATCTTGAAGTCTGGACTGCTTATTTTTCCGCTGGTAGCTTATCCGATTCTGTAACAGAACACCCGGCTCTTCAGGCAGCAGAGCAGTCCAGCCAGGTCAAGGTGAAATGCTTGGGAGTTCCCCTCCTTATTTAATAGTTTCCGTCTCCTTATTTGGAGTAAGAAAACAAGTAGGAGGCTCTTTCTGTCTCTCTTTTTTCTTTCTGTTTTCTAATTAACTGAGTAAATGGAAAGTACCTAGTTAATACACCACAACATGGAAAACTCCCCTTGTTTCAGGTGTGGCCGGCAACTTGGGGTGCACAGTCAGTTAAGCAGACTAGGAACCCAGAAGCAGAAATGCCCAGATCCACTAGTAAGCCCAACTCTACCGGGACAATATACTTCACATAAATAAAGCTAAATCCTGCTTTGCTTCACTCTTAACATTCTTGCTTTGGCTTCAAGTCTGTACTACTGTGGTCTTACTTAACATATTCAAAATCTGATAAGTGATTCTTCAATTGGGCAGCATGTGTATTTTACGGAGATTATGTCACAGGCCAAAGAATGCAGCCATTTTTGAGACAGTACAGTGAGAAGTCAAGAAAAAAAAAACCCAGTTCCCATAGGATATGTGAACACACTATACCATAAGGTGACTTTCATCATGTCAAAGTTCTGTGGCATTTTCATCTACCTCTTGAGGCCGGATTGTAAATGGAGATTATAATATTAGACACACGTAAGAATGGATGTAGTTCTGTGGAGTGGATGAGGTATACACTAATTTTTGTAATACTGTATTGTTAAGTGTCGATACATTCTATAAAGCAAGTCACAACTATTGTGTAGCAAGAGGAATAAGATGAAGCTCATAGATCTGTTTCAGGAAGGTCAGAGCCCCTTCAGAAAGAAGGATACCCACAGTTTGCGATATGACTCCCTTCAGATACATACCAGGGTAACCAGCTTTAATGGAGTTATTGGAGAAGAAGTACAGCGCCATTTATCACCACTCCAGTTGGGAAGAGGTTTTAGGTCTGGTTATTAAAGTAAAATAGGATACAGTATCCTGGATATTAGATTGTGATTGTGCAAGTTATTCACAGACAACTTATATGTATGTCTGGGGCTACAAAGTTGAATGTAAATTCTCCTGAAATCCTGCATGTTGTCACGAGGGTTTTCTTACAGTAGCTACAACTAGTGGCTTAGAAAAAAAATTTTTTGCTTGTATTCTGTAAATGACACTGGTCAGCAAAACTCATCTTTTTTCCTGAAATAACTATACAAGATATTGTGATAAAATACACTATTATCTTTATCATATAACAGAGAAAAAAATGTTCAAGACATGATGACTTCACTAATTCCGGTTTTTCTAATGTGTTCTGCTGTCTTACTTTGAATTTTTGACAGCTAAGTTTTTATCATTTATAGTAAGAAGAACAAATGAAATTCACAGATAGTCTAAAAATAACACTTAGCTATTCATTCCAATCTTCCTAGCATAAGATTCTTTGAGTTAATAAATTTTACAATTAGATACTTAAATGTCTTCCATACTCCTTTTACCTTGTTTTCTCACTAATTTAGTTTTTAGTGAGAATTAATAAGCTATAAGTGGGTACCAGGAGGGAAAGAGACACCTAAATGACTACTCTTTTTTTTTTTCTGAGTTTACAGACTTTAAAGAGATTTTGTTTAAGTTATTGACCTCCTAGTTACACCAATAGTCATATTCACATTATAATATTATATCTTTCTGAAGTTGAGATCACAGGTACAGCTTCTCAGCGGATAGTCTAAGGTATCTCTGAGTTTGCTGAAGAGTGAGCTATGTTACAGCCACTATGAAGCTTCTTCTAGTGATAATGAACATAAGCCCCTGAAACATCCCTTTCACTGAAGTGTTCTATAAGAGTGTTTCTCATCATTCTGTGGACTGACACCTGCCTGCAACATAATTGCCTGCAGAGTAAATCAGAGCTCCAATTTCTGTCTCAAGTCCAGGAGGTTCTGAATTAGATCTTATACAGTGCTCAGCAACCTGTATTATAACAAGCTTCTTAAATTGTTCTTCTATACATGGGTTTAAGGACCTCCTACTGTAATGGGTTAGTACAGACTCCTCAAATGCTATACAGGTGTTCATTGACAAGGTTCACTGTCAGTTGGAAATTATAAAAAAAGTGAATGACTACAACCAGTGTCTCTTGCCAAGACAGTCTATGGATGATTGAGTTCATGAGATGTTAATGATTTCTGAAACAAGACTTCCATGATTAAACTTGGGGAATGCTAAGTTAAAATTAAATTAAAGCCTTTCCTCAAAATAATTTCCAGAAACTCAGGTAGGTCAGCATGTACTGGATTCTCTAGAAGAAGAACCTTTTATTTAAAGAACAGCTAACAGATTAATTTTCTATGAATCATACTGTTATAAATTTTATACCCATTTTATAAATGTGGAGACTGAGACCCAGATTGGCAAAGAAACCAGTCTCACTTCTCTCAGAAAATTCCCAAGCTGGCATGAATCAGAGCTCTGATTCTTTTGATCATCACATATCAGGGATGAATTTTGGCTCCAAGTAACAGTCATATTGTGGCTATAATAAGTAAAAAAGAAAATTATTGCAAGGAAATTGGGAGTCCACAGAATCAAGAGGGGGTTGATTGAATAAGGGCAGAACACAAAGGAGAAATAAATGCAAGCGATGAAAGTTCAGTGTACCAGAGGGAGTTCTAATCACCCCTTCCTCCTTGTACCACTTAAGATTCAGCATCCTAATTAAGAATGTCTGATTTTCAAGTATCCAAGTTGATTGGGTAGAGAAAGGGGAAGAAGTACTTTTATCTTTGGCTTCCTCAGTGAAAAATATAGGTACATTTAAATGAAATGTGGTATCTGTTCACAGCCAAGTCTCGGCTTTCAGTGATCCTTTTATAACATGCAGCAAATTAATACCCCTTTAGCTTTTAATTCTTCTTCACAATGACTGTAGA